GTTAGAGAGTGTCTGTCCATGTTTAGTGGCCGGTCCAGCTCTAACCTGCAACACTCAGATAAAGTTCTGTCTCCTGAAATTTATTTTTCCCTAAAAGCCCCATGACACAGCGGAGCAGTGCTGTCAAACACAAGGCATCATAATCTTTTGGCTGTCCTATGTGCAGGTCATTAAATACCTGAACGGCAACTATTTAGTGATCCGTAGCTTAAATAAGTGCTGCGTTAGAACGCAGCAAAGAGCGAAAAGGCAGTTGTTGGGTACACAGGAAGCCGAGCTGCTAAGGAGCCGCACTACAGTGTCCTTTCACTACAGAATCACAGAATCACAGAATTCTGTGATTTCTGAAAAGCAGAAAAAGGCATTCAAACTGCAAGTACCACAGCTCAGACCAGCATCGATGCCAAAACTCATCAGAACCTTCTCGTTAAGGGCCCATGCATCAGAGCAGTGATCAGGAGCTGACAGAGCTAGTGCCAAGCACAGTGTGCAGCCCAAAGACAAACAGCTCCCAGGCAGGTGTCCCAGCACCACCTTATGCAATGACTTCCAGCTCTTACTGAACACCGATTTCAGAAGAAAGTAGGTGAGCCAGTGTCCTGTGGAGAAGGCAACGTAAAAATCAACTTGACAGGTTGTATCTTGCTTTTGTAGAAAGTGGCAACCTCCAGTTTTTGATGAAATTTTACCAGAAAGCTTGACTACTAACATGGAAAAACAAATGAAAAAAGAACTCGGTGCTGCCTGGCGCACCTGGAAAACTTTAAGGTTGCTAACTGCAGCTTACCATGTAGATACTACTATTTTGGAACCAGTGGTGGATCTACTGAATTAGCCATGTGACAATACCTGCTTTTAACCAAGCATGAAGTTTGGCTGCATTACCCTAAACTTCAAAACGTGCCACTCCTGCCTTACTGGGATTAAAATTTAACATGCTGTTTTCCACTTCTAAATTGATTTTGTCCAAACATGGGCCACTTAGTGGAGTCACAGGTCTTCAATATTCAATATAATACTCTCCACATAATTTTTTTTACACCAGTGAAATAAAATGCTTTTTGGTCAAATATATCCTTTTTCTTCCAAATAGTCATCTGGCACATTCTACAAGTGAGATACAACTCACATCTAAACTGAGGAAAACAAGCAAAATTTGTCCTTTAGAAGAGTAATGTCTTGTTAATGAAACAACTCTGGAAGCAGAATGGCCAGATCTTCTTAAGTGTGTTTGTATGAGGCAGAGTGGTTTTCTGTTTCAGACTTATTCAAGCTAACAAGACAGGCAATATGCTCTCTGGGAAGAAGCCCTCCCAAACTGTTACCCTACAAGAATGTGACAGGTTAAAGGCTTAAAATTGAACATTTTAAATATTAAATGTTTTTGTGTCTCCTTGGGAAATATTTTTAAAGTAAAAAGACAGACATGTTAAACAATCCATCCAGACTAGCATAAACTTCCCTAAAAGTATCAATTTTAGTAGTAACTAACTACCTAAGAGTGATGAGAGAAGAGTGATGAGAGAGGGAAGTATTAATTTCTCTAGTGAAGCCAAAAACTACGGGTTAGCTGCTGAGGCCAAAAAAAAAGAGGCTAGCTCCTGATAATCCTCATTCATAAGAACAGTTTTTTCATATAAACGTACCCTGCTGGATCATGAAAGAGAGCCTACATGTTTAAGTGTTTAAAAAATTAGATGTATGGATTGCCAATCATTAGAAGTTAGGACACATATATATGGCCGAATTCTGAAGAAAAAAGTGATCCAGTGAACTTGTAGAAATTGGTCTTTACCTGAGTGTGGCTCCCTCTGTCTGTACCACATCTCCCTCTTTAAGATAAAAATATTGATGTCCTCCTTCTATTTTTTCTTCACAGTGAGGGATACGAGGAAGCTTAGAGATGCGATATTCAGAGTCTATTTAAAGAAAGCAAGGAAAAGGATGTTTTGAATTTGTCACTAGCAAAGCTAATTTCACAGAAAAGTTACTTCTTGAACAAGTACTATTAATTATTATACAATATGTATACACATCTAGAAACAAGAAATTCTGTACAGTAACTTCTTGTTTATAAAACCACCTTATTGCTGAGCCACAAACACTGAATAGGCAAAGGCATTGAATATGAATACTGTACTCCATGCTAGCAGCAATTCTGAAGATGAAAAATCTAAAGTGAAACTAATAAAGACATGTCAATAATTATTATATCTTACAAATGTTCCTTCTTGACTGACCAAGAGCCAAAAGGCACATTTCTACAACAACACTAAGATTTCTGCACTCACATCCTACATTATGATTCACAGAACCACCATTCAACATTTGCCTCACAAAGACACCAATGCTGTTTTCAGTAGTGCCCAGGCTTCTTTGCAGATACGCACCTGGCAACCTCACAAACTCCAGTAAAGTCTGTGACAAAGGTTGTGATGAATTCCAGCAATGCTAAGAACAACTGCATTATTCATATTGGTTATTCTGTTCCCAGATACTAAAGCAGAAACATCTCTGCTTATCAATACGAAATACGCATTTTTTGTTCAGAATTTACCTGCTGACTGCTCTGCCCTCTTCCCCCTCATGATCTGCAGCCTACATATTTGTCAGCAATTACTAATAGTCTGCTATAAAGAATCTCAAAGTTTCCTTTCAGAGATTAAATTTTTTACTGTTTTCACACAAGCAAAAATAATGGTCAATTTTTCATTACTGTCAGTGTAGAAAGGAATGAGTATCGAGTTTTTCTCACATCTCTTAATATCTTCTAAACTACTGATGCTAATTCAGGTCCTCATTATTCACACATAAGAAAAATTCACTATGAAGGTATGCACAGGTATTGAAGAGAAACTGTAGTACTACAACTACTATATTCAGCTTATTCTTTGCTCTCATTCTACACACTGTAACAGCATCAGGAAATTATATGCAGTTTAAACCAAGATTTCAGAAGAATAATGCAGATTATTTGCACGGAAGCAGTCAGTAAAAGTTTTTTTCCTTGCCTTGGATCTAACATTTTCAACAATACCCGAAATTTCCAGCCTACCGTTCGGGATGTTTTTGCATATATCAGATATTCCACCGGTATGATCCAAATGCCAGTGCGTCACTAGGATTTCTTGAATGGAGATGTTGAACTCTGACAGTGCCTGCTTTAAACAGCCAATATATTCAGCATTGGCTGGTTCCCCAGTGTCGATAAGGACTCTTCTACACACGGATAAAAAAAAGAGAGAGGGGAGGAAAAAAAGAAAGAACTGAGGAGCGTTCCGCTTCCTTCACCCAACGCCCGTCTCAGCTCAACGGTCGCCCGGGGGAGCCGCCTCCGAGTGCCCGTCCCGGAAACTTGATAATGTGCTTCTTTTTTTTCTTTTTCTTATTTTTTTTCTTTAACCCTAATTATGGGATCTCGGCATATCCTAGCGGCCGCCCCTCGAACCTCCCCCTGCCCCCAAGCAGGGTCGTTACCTGGGCCCAGTGCCCACCAGGTAGGTGTTGGTGCCCTGCAGGGTCATGGGCCCCGGGTTGCAGCCCAGCACCCGCACCACCCGCGACGAGAGACGCTCGATACGCGGCAGCAGCGACACCATCTCCGCGGCTCCAAAACGCAAACCCCGACCCGGCGGACGGACCGCTCCCCCGCCGGGGGCGGAAGAGGCTGCTACCTCTTGCTCCGCCTCAAGATGGCGGCCGCGGGCCCTTCCGCCCGGCCGTGAGGCCAAGGGGCTGTGAGACGGTTCTACTGCCGCCCTCAGTGGGGCGAGCCGGGTTTTCGCTTAAAATTCGGCCAGTAGGAGCGAAACCTGTGGTAATTCAACGTAATAAAGGCGATATTCTCCTCTGACGGGTCGCTGCTTGGTAGCGACGACTGCATCTTCTGTATGTTCTGAGAACATGCTCACGTACAGTCTATACAGAAGCTGTATATGTTCCTATATGGCATAGAAGCATAGAATTGTCGGGGTTGGAAGGGACCTTACAGATGATCTAGTTCCAAGCCCCCGCCATGGGCAGGGGCCTCCCCCCCTTGACCCCGGT